CTATGGATGACCTTGAATTCCTGATCCTCCTGTCTCCACTTCCCAAGTATTGGGATTACAGATATATGCTACTTCACCTGACTGAAGTCTATTAAGTTGTGTGTTCAAAGAAATAGAAACCTTTATTTGATCAAGAGAATGGGAGCATAGGAGAAAACCTACCTGGGTGAGGCAGCCAAAACCATGGTGCCTCAGTGGGGTCAGACAGCTGTAGGGAGATAACACTCAGACCCAGAAGGGCAGAGATGATCCACACACAGGCCACAGGGGTAAGCACCTGAAGGACAACACTGGGATGGAAAAGAGCTCCCTCCTCCCCCAGAACCTTCTGAAACTCAGAAGTAGGAGACCAAAGGGACATTCCATGTCAGTCCCACACACTTTTATCCGCTTTGACAGTTTTATATTATATATATACATATATATGTGTGTATATATACATGTATGTATACATATATACATATATATGTGTGTATGTATACATATATACATATATATATGTATATATTATGTTTTGAGATAGGGTCTATGTAGCCCTGACCTGACTGTCCTGTAACTCTCTATGTAGACCAGGTTAGTCTCAAACTTACAGAAATCTGCCTGCCTCTGCCTCCCAAGTGCTAGGATTAAAGGCATGCGCCACCATGCTTGGTTCAACTATTTTATTTATGTTTGGGGGGTGGGCCTAAAGGCCATACGAGGGACTTGGCTTCTGGAGCAGGAGTTACAGGCAGTCATGAGCCACCCACATATGTGGTGGGAGCCAAACTGGGGTCCTCCAGAAGAGCAGCAATGTCTTATGTTTATTGTTCATGTATTTCAGGCTGGGATAAAACTTCCTATATAGCAGAACTTGAACTCCTGAGTCCTTCTGTCTCCCCCTGCCCAGTGTGGAATCACCGGTGAGTGCCACCTCACCTGGCTATGTGCATCAGTCAGCCCTTCTCGCTCCATCTGCCCAGAGCCCCCACGTACCGAAAGGAGCCGGAAGACAGGAATATAAATGTGAGTTGAGGAAGTTGAAGCTGGCCTCCAGGAGCACAGGGGTACCTGGCAGGAACCCAAGTGCTGAGAACAGATCACCATGAGTAGGATGAGTCTAGGAAAGAGAAGGAGCTCTGTGTGGGTCAGAAGCATCAGAACCCTGAAGGACGGCAATGCCGGGGAGCAGAGTATCACAGAAGGAGGTCCCAGGGAAGAAGCTGCTCATGGAAGGGGTAGGGAGGTACTCTGAGGTACCATAGCATGTGACTCTGACTATCAGAGAGACCGAGGGAGTTAAAGGAAAGGCTTGGATCCCAAATCTAAAACCTGGCTACCCCTGCCCAGATGGCTATGGAATCTAATAAGGCAGAAGCTCTGTCGTCCTCCCCAGGTCTGCACGCCCACTGGGTACCATCCCACACCTGTCAGGACTCACTTACAGCAAGGCCAGGCCCCAATGAGCGGAACAGAACTGGGCCACCTCCTTGTGGGCAGAGAGCCCTGCTACAACCAGGCTGGGTGCCAGCACCAGTGGTCCACAGTAGGGAAAAACACGGCCAGGCAACCCTAGAAGTCCTATTGTGCCCTGCAGCAGCCCGGATACCACCACTGCCCCTGACACCTGGTGGAGGAGAGGGGAGGAGAGGAGAGGATGGATAGAAGACGTTCTGTTCAATCAGTTTACTTCAGTCTGGAATTTCTTTTTTTTAAATCATTTATTTACTTTTATTTCATTGGCGTTGGTATTTTGCCTACACGTATGTCTGTGTGAGGGTTCTTGGGTTAGAGACATTTGTTAGCTGCCATGTGGGTGCTGGGAGTGGAACCTGGGTCCTCTGGAAGAGCAGTCAGTGCTCTTAACTGCTGAGCCATCTCTCCAGCCCCAAACTGAAATTTCTAACAAATTCCAAGGACAGGCTTCTGCCTTGCTCCTTCCCGGTAGCATCGGTGTCGGCATAATGGAAACGAGAGTGTCTCCAGGCTGGGATCGCCCCGTCCTGCTGTCTTTTTCCAGGCACTCACCTCTCGGAGAGAAGTGTTCCAGAGCTCCAGGCCATGGCAGCTTGACAGACTACACAGATGCAGTGAGAGGGAGGCTGAAAGTTTGAGGTACAGAGAGGTATAAATGGAATAGAGACTCAGCACTCTCCTGCGCTGATGCCTGGTATGACCCCCCAAGACCTCTCTCTCTACAGTACCCAACAATAGTACTAACTGCCTAGGCTCCAGCACAGACTTCTGCCACTAGCCTGTCTTTACTCTGTACTCACCGTTTCCAGGGGTCTTGGTTGTCAGAGATGGCTTCTGGTTTGTCAGCACCAGTGCAGGGATAAGGAATTCTAAGGATGGAGCCTGGACTAGAGGCAGCCTGTAGAAACGCAGCCGCAGCAGGTTTGGAAACCTAACAGTCAACAGGATTCCCTTGGCTCTTTCCAGGAGCCTCTTCCCTCTCTCGAAGGAGTTTCCCCTCACCTGCTGCCCATCCAGGTTTGCAGGACCGTAGACACACCACAGGAAAAGAAACTGGAAGCCAGAAGCTGACCAGGTGAGTATGAGAGCCCCCCTGGGGGAAGGCTGTGAAGCAGCAGCAGGTGGGAGGCAGAGAGTAGAGATGACAGAACCAGGAAATGCTGGAGAGAGGAGTACAGAGGGGCGAGCTTCAGAAACACCCATCAGTAGGTCTCTCATGACTCATTGACTCCCTCCAAATACCAATTTCAACCAACTCCTGCACCTCTACCTCCTACCTGTAGAGCCAGAAGACAGCTGAGGACCCAGGTGGAAGGCCCACACCGAGAGGCCCATGAGTGGGAAGAGGGATTCTGGAGAGGGGGCAGCAGTGGTGGCCCAGGAGCAGAGGCATCCTGGGAGCCCACAGATAGGAGTGGAATGGAATGGAGAGGTGATCGGCTCATGCTGCCTGGCTGGATGTGTCTTGGCTGCCCCAGGCTAGATGAGTAAAGAAAGAGGTCAAGAGTGTGGGTGGAGTGCACTGACTGTCGCGGGAAGGGGGTGGGGGTGTCAACGAAGCGGAGAGAGAGAAATAAGGGCTTGGGAGCAGGACAGGGCTCTTTCACCTTTGCCCAGCTCTTGAGCAAGTTCCATCAGCCATTAACCTAAGAGCTAAGTTCTGGACCCCTCCCTCAAGAATTTTCACCCATACCCCTGCTTCTACCAGGCTCTGAAATGGAGGGTTAGGGTTAGGGGAGACCTATCCGAACAGCCTGAAGAGATTTGCAAACTCTCCTCTCACCATCAGCATTTAGCATCATCTATTAGGTACACATTCTCCAACCAAACAAAACGTGCACGGCATCAGTTCAAAACAAGAGCCGTACGTAAAAAGCCCACATCCCATAGGACAATGACCACTACATATAACACACTCGCTGTAAAGCAAGAGTAACTAATAGTAATGTCTATTTCAAAATGTGAAATCTTGGGCACAAATAAACCAGAAGGCACTGGAACAGTCTGCCGCCCATGCCCATAAACAGGATCACTGTGGATGAGATAGCTACCTGCCAGTCAATGACATTTACTGGTAATTCAGATGCTGTAAGCAGTATTGACATTGGCAACCTGGTTTTCTAAAATAGTGAGCAAACAATGTTTGGTAAAACATTGAACAAAGTATACATTTACTTTACGTGGAAGTATAATTCCATGAAAATTGAGTTTTTTTGATTTTTGAGATTATTATTTCTGCCTTCCCTTTCCTCCCTCGAAATCCTCCCATATACCCCTCCATCTCACTCTTCAAATCCATGTCCCTTTTTTCACTGTTACTACATGGATATATGTACATACACATATGTATTACTAACTATAACCTACTCAGTCTGTATGTTACTCATACTTCCAGAGCTGACCATTTGGTATATTGGATACCAATTGGCATGCTATTCCCAGACTTACTCCCACTCCCACCATCCCTTTGTTACATTTAATTCTTTGTGGGTTGAGTCCTCAGATTTTTTTTTCTTTCCAAAATGCACAAAAATGTCTCATGTTTGCACTTAAAAAAATAACTTTAGAATCGGCTAGGTGTGGTGACACATGCCTGTATCCCAACACTCTGAAGGCAGATGTAAGTGGAAAGCAAGTTCCATATCAGCCTGAACCTCCTGAGACCATTTCCAATGGCAGCTAACTCCATTTTTAATAGGCGCTAACAGGATTTTAAATGCACGATGTCTTGGAAACTTTATAGTAAAGGTTTTAAGCCCTTTAGGGAGTCTAGCATCCCACTCAAACTGAACAAATGCCAGTAGCATTTCCAAAGACTATACCACCCCCCTCAAAAAAAGCCGAGTGGCGGTGGTGCACGTCTTTAATCCCAGAACTCGGGAGGCAGAGGCAGGCAGATCTCTGTGAGTTCAAGGCCAGCCTGGTCTACAAGAGCTAGTTCCAGGACAGGCTCTAAAGCTACAGAGAAACTCTGTCTCCAAAAAACAAAACAACAACAAAAAAAAGGAGTATATATCACAATGACCCTTGGGGACCCACCAGCCCACTGACCTTACCCCTACCCCTCACTCCCTACACGATCTTTGGCAGTCAGTTAGCAGTCCAAATACACCATAGATTGTTCTTCCACTGATGACCCAGCTCTGGTTCTTCAACACCAGCTACTTCCATGAGTCACCTTGAAGAGGTCAGTAGGGTTTGCATTCTAGGAGTTCAACTGGACATGTTTTGATACGTAAGGATTCACAAGGCTGGTACCCACCCAGGATACGTAACAACGAACAAGGCCTTCCCAGGCCTGGACCAGTCACTGCTTGCTTGTATCTCATGGCAGGCCACATCCCCCAATTTCAGGGCCTCTAAGGTAGTAGGGGCAGGGATGCAGGAACGTTTGAAACAGGAACTAATAACTATCAAACTAACAGGGAGTTTTGAAACAGAGTCAGAAAGAATGCTGACACACATTAACAGGACGGTGCATCTGACTTGGGAGGCAGATAAGAGAAGATCCTCAAAGGATAATGCAGAAGGAAAAGGCCAGGCCATGCAACAGAAACTGTTTATTGAAACCTCAGTTCTACAAAAGCGTGAAAAACTCAGATACAAAGCAGTGGTGCCCAGAGAGGCTGTAAAGAGAACACCTAGAAAAGAACCGGTCAAGTGGGAAGCCTTGGAGCAGGATGCTAAGATTGGAAGACCAAAGGATAAGGTTGAAGGACCCAGAAATCCCTGGTTGTGACAACCACATCCAAGGGACGGGTGTGGCAAGCTTCCTGCCTTGGACACCTTCCCTCAGCAGCTTCCATCTCAGGGCCATCTGCCCCTGGTTTTCCTGCCTCAGGGACATCACATGAGCAGAACCACATGAACGCTTCCTTCCTCTCATCCACTTCCCACACCTCCCACCTTTCCCTTTCCATCTTTGGAAACTCAAAAGCAAAAGTCTACTCCCCCAGGCTTGGGAAGGCAGAAAGATAGGAGCTTCCCTGTCATTGGTGACGTGCCCCTGGTCACTGAGCTGAAACTCCCAGGCACCATCAGAGTTCTAGCCTACTAGCCAGCCTGAGGTCTGGGAGGGTGAATGACCTTGCTTTGCCCCATAATCCCTTGTGCTCCTACCCAGGAAGACAGGGGACCAGCCAAGGACCCAGAGAGGTAGCAAAAATCTAAATCAAGTTTTCCTCTTCCAGGTTCTTAGGGAGTCCCAAACCCTCTTTAAATGCACTCCTTAGAACCTACCTAGCCTGGGAAAATAAAAGACTTGAGACGGGCCAGCTCCATGACACTAAAAAGAGAGCATTGCTGGGGTTGGAGGAATGGAGGGGCTGCTGGGCTCCAGAGCCAGGGTGGGGCCAGGCCATGGGTGTGGTAAAAAGGCCGTGAAGGACCAATAGACACCGTATGGTTAGGATGGTGGCAAGCATGGCAGTTTGGGGTGTTTCTCTGGAACTTCTGGCAAAAGGGGCATTTGTGGAGAAGAGTAGGTGGGACAGGAGGGTCTGGGGGAGGTACCGGAAGGGGTGTCAGTGAGGCCAGAAGACTGCCCCACAGGGGCGGCAACTCTACATTGCCTTCTGGGCAACTGGAGACATTAGATAGGCACTGTGGCACAGGGGAGGGTATGCAAGGCTGCAAGAGGCCTTTAGAAACCAGACTGAGGTCAGGAGGACCTGGTGAGGGGCTGCAAGACAGCCCCAAGGACTGTTGTATTACAGCCACTGATGCCACAGCGAGGGCCACACTGCTCACGTATGCCACGGCTAACAGGCAGGACAGCTGCAAGAGAGAAGATGAGAAAACCACAGGCTGTTGACTGTCTTTATTCCTACTCCCAGTCGCTCACGCTGAAGCTCTCTGTAACTCCCTCTGCCTCCCCTGCTCTCCCAGCTACTCTCAAACTTCTTCCAAGCCTTTCAGAATTTGCTTTTCAACACACACACACACACACACACACACACACACACACACACACGCATGCTCATGGGAGCCTCCTCAGGTCCCTCTCCTTCATACCCCCTTCTCACCTTTACCAGTCGCTGGCAGAGGGAGCCCAGAGACAGTTGCCACGCTGGCTGTTCCAGCAGCACACACAGGTCTGTGTAGGTGTACCAGCCCCGCCGCCGTCCTTGCTGCTCAGCCACACTAGTACGGAGAAGAGACCAGGGGTTAGGGACTCTTCTGCACCGAAGAAGACAGGGGTACCCATTAGGACCCATCAGAAGACACAGATTCTCCAAGCTACCCATGATCCAGAAGATGAGATTAAGACACAAACTTCAAATAAGCTGCTACCGCCACTGAAGGAAAGCAGAAAAGTTAGGCAATGACCACTTTGAGCAATTCTCTTTCTCTTCTTTCTCCCAGTTACACAGATCTTATTTCTAGCTCCTATGGCACTGGTCGATGCCTCTAAATGCCTCAAACCCCTCTTATCAATTTCTGGAACTCACCAGCTCTCCAGCCAATTCAGCACCTCAAAGATCTCCCGAGGATCAGTATAGAGACGCCAATCCTGTGTGCAAAAAGAAGAAAGACGGACATGGTAGTTCATCCCTATGATCCCAGTACTTAGGAGGCTGAAGCAAAAGTATTGCTGCAAGTTATAGGCCAGCCTGGGCTACATAGTGAGTTCTAGGCCAGTCTGGGCTTATAATGTTAAGCCCATCTCAAAAAAAAACCCTAAATAAATAAGGACAGGGAGGAGCACAAGCTATGCTCAGACACAAGTCATGATGACCTGAGCAGAGCACCTGAAAGAAGTTTCTAACTACTACCCAAAAGAGCTTGTGTGTATTCTATCACGCAATCACTCCCTACCTGACCTTGAATTAATTATCCCCACTACAAAGTACAAAGGGAGAAAATAAACCCAAGATTGGTCAGTGTCCACAGGGAGCTCAAAGTCTAAGACAGAAAGAGTTTGAAAGCAAATATTCAGAGGCCGACACTACAGGCTCTGCCTCCGAGTGTGCCCTGAAGGAAGAGGGTGAGATGCTACTTGTGGGCTCACTGTCCCAGGAGCCTGTAACCAGTCCTGAACGGACAGGAAAGGAAGACCCTGCCAAGAAGACACAAGAAGGACAGACAAGCAAAGTCAGGTGCAGTACACAGACCTACAATCAGCATTGGGAGACAAAAGCAGATGCAACAGGAGGCTTATCGCAAGGTCAAGACCACCGTCGTCTACATAGTGAATTCTAGAACAATCTAATTTGAAACTTTCTTATTAAGAGACAGGGTCTGACTATGAAGCCCTGACAATCCTAAAATGGACCATCTGATCTCAAACTCACAGAGATCTACCTGGGATTAAAGACATGCTCAAGCATACCTGGCAGAAAAATAATTAGATGAAGGTTGACAGCTACCTTAGTTATGAAAGACCTTATACACAAGTATGAGAAACTGAGATCCTCAGAACCCACATAAAAGAAGTGCGCATGGCATGTACACACACACAAAGAGAGAGAGAACACAACAGAAAGCTGAGAGATAAAGAATAAAGGAACGAAAAGACAGATAAGAGCCACTCACCATGGCACTCAGGAAGCCCCTTTCCAAGGCATTGAGAGTAGGCACAGCCACTCCCCCAGCAGCTCCCCATTCATCATTGAAAACCTCCTCTTCCTCCCCTTCATCATACAGGTATTTACTGGCCACCATCTGTAGAGAAGCCAGAAGTGCATCAGTAGAGCTCGTACCTGGTGCCTGGCTCCCTAGGGAGGTACAAGGAGGGGCACCTCACCATGGAGATCAGAAACAAGTCAGAAGACGACACGTGCTGCAGGTAGTCAGGGCTCCGGTGCCGGAGCCGCTCGATGTACACAAGAGCTAACATCATCGCACAGGGGGAGATACAGGCCTCCCTGGGAGGTGGAAAGGATCAGTAATTAAACCCAAGGGTCCTTCAGCTCTTGAAAGGCTCAAGATGCTCATCTCTGTCTTTACACTTTATTTTTAGAGACAAAAGCAACCCGTGTGTGCATGCACTCTCTCTCTCTCTCCCCTACAATCCCAGGCTCACCGGGACACATGAGCTACATATTTCTTCTGGAGTCGACGAATAGGACTGGGTGCTGCCTTCTGAAGAAGTTCCACAGTAATGTCTGCAGGAGAGAAGAGAGCAGAATAGTCAGCCCCACCCACCAAACATGCACAACAGTCCCCACAGCTGTCAGGGAAGACCTAGGTCTGTAGGATCTGAGGCCTTGGGAACATGGCAGTCACAGAAAACTAGAAATCAAATTCTCCTAAGCTGGAAGGTGAAATGTGCCTGTAATCCCACAGGTGACTGGATTACTGCATGGCTAGCTGATTTACAGTGAGTTCCAGGCTAGTCAGAGCTACGTAGTAAGACACTGCCTCAACCCTTCAGTCCTGGGTTTCCCCACCTTACCCTCTCCCCAATTCTAAGTAGATAAAAGCACATTCCAAGCTTGATTCTCAGCCTTTTCCAATAGAAAAGGCTCTTCTGTTGAGTTATTCATGTTTATCTTTCACTAATGTTCTTTTTCTGTTGTTGTTGTTTTTGTTTTTTTGGTTTTTCGAGACAGGGTTTCCCTGTACCTTTGGAGCCTGTCCTGGAAATAGCTCTTGTAGATCACGCTGGCCTTGAACTCACAGAGATCCGTCTGTCTCTGGGATTAAAGGTGTGCGGCACCACCGCCCAGCCACTAATGTTCTAATAAGTGTGCTTTGTTTACTTGGAAGACATACAACAAATATAATTAGAAAACTAAAGTTCTGACCTTTAAATCAAAAGGGGAAGCAGGACTTGAGGTATAGCTCTATGTTAAAATGCTTGCCTAGCATACACAAGGCTGTAAAAATAAGTGACTGCAATTTAGAAGCTGTTTTTACTCACGTGGGCTAAAGAATGTGAAACGCAGCCTGCATTGTCAAACCAAGTACAACTGAGCTAGTTATGAGACACAGTGCAGCTCAGAGGGCAAACTTGGGTGACTACTAGCAACCCTGCCCTCAAAGTTCTTCCATGCTCAGTCACACAAACACACACACAGCCTAACCTGCCATAGGGCTGGAGAGTTCCTCCAGGCTGCAGTCTGTATCCCAGTCCCAGCCATAATAGAGTCTCCTTCGAATTCGAGCACTCAGTTTTTGGTGTCCTGGAAGGAACTGAAACAGGGCCAGTAATGGAGGGTAAAGGGCAGGGAGGGCTTGGTGGAAGTCCTGGGTTGGGAATGGAAGGCTGTGAAGGGCAGCAAGTTGGCTTTGCTGCCACTCGGCCTATGCCCCACCCGGCTCTGCGTTCCCAGGATCATTTGCTAATGGCACCCTAGTCCGGTTCTCATGAAGGGGAAAACAGACGCCCTGTCATCACTGAGGGCTCCCAGGAGAAGACTAGAAACCAGATGGACTCCAGTCTAATCGCCCATTCCTTCCTACAACCTAAAGGTTTGCCTCCAGGCCCAAGTGGCCCGGGCATTGCTCTCAACAGTCACCCAAACCCGGGAATGGCAAATAAGAGAGCTTCCCCTTCCCCTCGGTTCCAGGGGGCACCCCCCCCCCCCCCCCCCCCCGGTGGGGGGGGGGGGGGGGAGAGCTAAGGACAGACGGACTGTGGCTCTCACCGTGAAATCCTGGAAACCGGTGAGGGAAAACGTGCCTTCTTCGTCCAGAAGGAGCCCAGCCAGATCCATCGTGCCGTCAGCCGCCACCCTGTGAAGGTGGAAGGGGGAGAAAAGGAATAGTAAGTGGCGGACAGAGCCGTCCTCCCCCGTTGGCCCACCTGCCCGCCTCTCCCGAGAGGGCCGCCGCCCCGGTTCGCGCAGTCTCCTCCCCTGTTGCCGGCAGCCGCAGGACGCCTCTTCCTGTTCCGCGCGCGACTGGGCCTCCCGGCGCCCGACAATCCGTGCGGCGCTCACCAGGCGGAGTAAGAAGAGGTCCCAGGGCCAGAAGTGTTCTCAGCCCGCGGTGCGTCTGCCTGGCGTTTACAAGCGGCGGGCGGTGTCGCCGGCGAGTCAGCCAGTCGGGGAGGAAGTGCCGCCCGGGGCCAGTCTCCCGCCGAGAGTCTCGGGTCTCTGGAGCCCCAAGCACCGGGGTCTGAGTTTTAGATTACGGTTCCCAGGGGCCTGGGATGCACCAAGGGAGCTGGCCAGACCTTGTGGTAGTGGTGTAGATATTAACGAGACTAACATAAGAGGTGACAGACGAGTTGTTTCCCGGGCTTTAGTAGGGAAGATGCACGCGCTCAGCAATGTACAAGAAAGATGAACACGAAACTTACCCTTGGGAGAACTGTGGACAAGATGGAAGGAAATCAGTTGAACCTTTATGCCCCTTAGGAGTTTGAAACTGTAAAAGTCGAATGCATACTGTGTTTTGTAGGGTTACTCTAGCAATTAAACGGTCTCAAAAGATATGAAGCCTCAAAGGGCGATGTTAACAAGTCTCCCAAAAGTAAACAGCATCTAAATGAGGTTTTATTTTCAAAAACGCCTTCCAACCAATCTGCCGCTGAAAGAGTTGGGGGAAGAAAGAGCGTCAACGCTCGGAGTAGGAAAAAACAACTTCTCTAAGTTGGTGAGGCTGCTTTTAAGTCATTGAAGTCACGCGCTGGTGTTTGTTTATCCTCTGAGGGGAGGGGACTAGAGGCGACGAGGATTGAGTAATGGAAATGCCGCCGCCCTTCCCGAGCCGAAAGAGATCCTAGCCGGGATCCTGGGCGCCTATAGGCCCACTTCCTCCGGGCGGACTCGCAGGGAAAACACAGGTCGCCAGCAGCTTCCCCTGCCGCCCTGACAACACGCGGAGAAGACAGCAGGCAGTGTAGCCTCAACAGCCGCCCCGGGTCACCGCTCCAGCAGCTTGGAAGCACACCTGCGTGGGTGCAGGATCACGGCAGTCGCCAGCGCGCACGCGCGGGCCTCCCATCCGGGCTGTTAGGTCGAGTCACGTGACCGCGCGCTCCGTCACGTGACGCGATCCCGCAGGTTCTGCTCGCCTGGGTGTGCGCCCCCTTCCGCCTGACGCGCCCCCGGCGGCGGCCGCGC